ACAGACAAACAGACAGACAGGTGCACAGCAACAACAGTAGCAACAACTACACTAATAGTAGTGACTGATGATGATGAACATGAAGAAGAAGATGACGACAACAACAAATCTTAGTCTATTCTTTTAATAGAGATTAAGTTTTGGAAACTAAAATGTTTTCCTTAAAGGACCGGTAACCAGATTACAACCCCCTTACCTCAAAAACAATTTTTTGTGGTTGCAAAACAAAACAGAAAATAGTAGCTTTATTTGTCCGTTGTCCTGTAGAAACACGGTATTTATCTCAATCAAACTTCCTGCCTCTACGGTGACGTCTGCTACAACTCTCTGTACAGATTTACAGTTCGACACCATCGTCTCTTTTAGCGCAGTCAAGCACAGGATTAATACAGAAGGCATATGAGCATAATAACAACTCCAACACATAATTTAATGCTGATTCACTCGAAGGATTTGAATAATCCTAATGCAGGACAGATGGAGGGGCGATCTGAATCTGTTGAAGGAGCAAATGTTTTGGTTTTTCACTCTGTCGCATGTCGATCTCAACAAATGTCACTTTTCATCCGGCCTCCGACTGTATTTATATTTAGTTCCTGAAAGATTTTTTTGCTTCTCTCTAAACACTAGCTGTCAAACTGCATCAGCACAGAATCCAAAAGGGAAGGCAGTCCCCGCCCATGTTGTTTGATTGACAGGCAGTTCTCTGAGAAGTGCCGTGCAGAGACATCACAGCAGCAGGGGCGGACACAAAAACAAAAAGTAGAGCGTCGAGGTTCAGTCTCGACCTTGGAAACAGCAGACCATTCACTTTCAGGCCCCATCGCATGGCCTTTCTCTGCATTATGGAGTTATTCAGCTGTTATGACATGACCTAAGTATTGTATTGTGACCTAAGTAGGAGTCGAAGTGATCCCAGTGGAGCCCCGTATGCGTGAATATCTAGTCAGAGTTTGTAAGTCAGAAGGAAAAAGAGGAGTCAGTGGAGAGAAGATGTTTGAACGGAGACAGGGGACGCCGTCTGCTCCCATATACAACCATTTCTTATAAGATGGGCCCCGTAGATAAGTCACCATCTCCGTGACAACTGAGCAAACTCCATCCGCTGAGGAAAACACACAATAAGTGATGAGATTATTTTCATTAAATGTATTATTGATATGTGACTCTGTGTGTGTGTGTGTGTGTGTCTGCAGAACTGGCATAAAGGATGTTTCCACTGCGAGGTTTGTAAGATGACCCTGAACATGAAGAACTACAAAGGCTACGACAAAAAACCCTACTGCAACGCGTGAGTCCTGACCTCTCACTCTCTCTCTCAGTGTAACATTTGGGTCTCTCTCTCTCTGTACAGTGTAAATAATATCAGATATTATTTAATGTTTTGCACGTATCTCTGCTGAATTTCAGTTAAAGCCCCGTTATGTAACGTTATTACCATAAAACAACAGCTTTAAGTTCATGTTGATGCTACACTGAGTTGTGTTTAGGTGAACGGTGCCTGGTCTTGCACTATACTTTCGGTTTCGGTTCGGGATACTTGCGTAATGCTTTACAGCAGTGGTCACACGCCACAACGTATGTCTGGTGAAACTGGATCATATATTCCCTCTGATGTCCTCCGGCTGCTCCGCCTCAACTCTCCTGATGGACAGACTTACGAGATGTAGCGGCTGTTAGCAAGTAAGCATAGCCCATTCTGCCCTGGACGCCTGGGGTTGGGTGCTCAGAGCACTGGGGGGAGTGTTGGTGTTACACTGGAAGCTCAGGAGCTTCGGAGCCCCGAGAGGAGGGCGGGCGGATGTTGACGGAGAGTGGCGCCGGCGTTGTGTCAGTGCTTTATCTGGGCGAGCAGGCAGTGTAACTGCGCTCAGCAGCGTCTGTGGACACAGCTAATGGCGGAGGCTCAGAGGCCGAAGAGGATGATGGATGGAGGAAGCTAAGAAGAGTAAAAGAGAGAGAAGCTGTTGGACGGGAGTAACTCTCGGACCGACTTGTTGTCGTTTGTGAAATAAAAGGTTGTTGACTTTCTTGCTGTTGGACTAGTCAGTAATATTAGCTGGCTCGCTCTGTCTTGTGTTGTAGCACTTTATGTTTGGCTGTATTACAAAAGTTGTCAACTTGCTAGATTTCAATTACACTCTCCAATAGTGTCACTTCAAAGTGTTTCTTATTATTTTCTATTTATGAACTCTCTCAGAGTATAAACACCATCCTTTGGCTGCTGTGTTATTATCTGCATCTGTGCCCGTTCATATCTTCGAGGCGAACCTTTCAGGTTTTTATAGCAGCGATGGTTTTGGTCGGTGGTTGTTTTTCAGTGGTTTTGGTTGCGAGCCCAGCCCTGCTCCGCTCCAGGCGCTGGCTCTGTTTACAGCCTCTGGATCTGTGCATTTCTCTATGCTGCTAACAGGCTCTAGCTTGTTATTATCTGTACGCCATGACACACTGCACCGCCATTTACGGCCCCCAAAAGAAAAAATGTAGACCTTCACAGACACACAGCGAGATTAAAAAACCTCAGAGGAAGTAAAACTTGGATCTGTGTTTGATGGATGTTGGTAGTAAATTATAGCTTGTGCTAGTATCTGCAGCGAGGGAAGGTTGTGGCTTTGACCTTTGACCTTGTCTTGTTGCTTGTAATGTGGATGATCTGGGAGCTGAAGCTTATAATTGTAACTGTTTAAGGCCTGTTGATAACTTTGTGATACATAAACTTCTCTTTAATGTAGCAGAAATGCAGAAAGAGAATAAATCCTCGAGGGAAATTGAACAGTTTGTTATTTGTTGTCGTTGTGTGGCAGATAAAGACCTTTTGAATCACAGCCAGCAGTGAAAGAGAACAAAAACACACTTTGTCCACCTCACCCTCCTGTCAGACACACCAGCACTTACTGGCTCTGCAAACACACACACACACACACTCATATATATACAGGTACACACACTCACAACAGTGGACTTACTGGCAGAGGGGTTAAAGTGACCTTTGACCCTGCAAGGTTATAAAGGCGTTTCCTCTCAGCTTGTGGAACACACCGTCTTTGTTTCCACTCAGACCTCTCTCGCCCTCCTGAAAACAAACAGCAACCCTGTGGTAACGCTGCCAGCCGCGGCTCAAAGGTCCCTGTCTGTAGTCCAAGTTTCAGAGAACGTGGATGACGGGATTCACGCTCACAGCCACGAAATGTTTCAGAAATATGGCGTCTTCAATATGAATTCACAGACGGGATTTAGTTTATTAAGAAACAGGTGCAACCTTAAGGTTTATGTGTTTATGAGATTGAATCTCAGCAAGCGAGCTGCTCGAGTACAATAACCTACAGTTACTGTTGTTCACTTTTGATGTGCGTAATGGATTTCTCTGCATTCATTCGTACTGAAGGTTGTTTGATTGTACAGTGACTTCATTTACATGCTGCACCTTTATGTTGCACACAACGATGGTTCTTTCTCCAGTATTCACAGCTTTGTAGGTTAATTCAGGCCAACCCTGCTCGCTGTCTCACACACTGGAGCTAATGGCCTTAGAGTGGGGTTTTTTTTTTTCACACACTGTGTTGGAGTGTGTTTGCCCTCGGCTGAGGAATGTCACAGCAGGTCAATAAGGACCTGCAGGGTTATTTATTCCACTTAACACAACTGCTTTAAAAGAAAACTGAAAGTTTTGAGTCACATGTTTCAGGCTCGAAGTGGACTTTCCAAACTCAAGTGTCCTCAACTTCTGCATTAGAAGTTACTCAGTGTGTGCTGCAGTGCTGGGCAATGTGGAAGCAATATTTAAATTGTTGGCATACCTTTTTTATTCTTAAAATCTGTTTTTAAGGCATTGCAGTTTGATATGAACAATAAAGAATTGTAATTTAATTCATTTCAGTTCTTTCCTTATTGGCTATATTGTAAATTAGGTCTCAACCTCAATGTATTTTCCTGTTAAAATAAAGGTTGAATAATTTAGATTTAAATTAAAAATAAATTGTAAACATTGATTTTGTGCACACAAAAAATAGAATATTTTATGAATTTTTTCAGTGATTTGTTAGGCAAAAAACAATGAATTAATTGTCAAATCAATCATAATCATTTTGGTTATTTGTTAAATAAAAACAGAACATTTAAAATAAATAGTAAAACTTGCTTTACATTTAAATACTTTATTGCTTTATTGGTCATTTCAAGGCTTTAGATTGTGCTTTTGTCATTAATAGATATTTTATGAAATAAAAATCAAGGTATTTTAATGAGAAATAGTATAAAGAACAGAGTGCACAGAGGAGATGAAGCCAGTGACATTCAGTGTGTAGTGGAGCTCTTCCACCGCTGCCTGCTAGCTCTCGTGTCCTCTGTGTGTCTGTGTGTGAGGTCAGTCTGACAGGTTTGTTTACTGTGCAGAGACTTCCTGCAGGGGTTTCTTACTCATCAGTGAGGGTTTTGCTTTTGTGCCTCAGTGTAACATGTAGCGCTCAGTGTACAAACCAGCGTCCTGTAATTAAAGAGCGTCTCCACGAGGCTCCGGCTTCCCTCTGACGCTCCTCGTTTGCAGTGTGATACAACTGGTGTGTGTTGTCTAAAAGCCCGGCGGCTTTGTTTTTCTTGGCTTTTTGTGTCGTGCGTCTGATCCGTCTCCATCGATGGAGCCGAGACTGCGGTCGACAGTGCAATGACAACAATAACGGTTCTGCCCTGTATGACTTCTCTGTTCATTTCTTCTGTAGTTGCTTCAGTTCATTCTTGAGGTTCTTGGATCGTAAAAACATCTGCACTAGAATCTGCACTTCCTGGTCTTATTGTAGTCGCTGCTGTTGAACTGTGTTGTTTTAAATGTGAGGTGGAGGAACGGGAAAACATTTTCCTTAGGATACAGGTTTATTATCCAGACAAGCCTCTTAAAACAGAGTACAGAGAAACATGCATCCTGGCCCAGTGGGTCAGTGACAAGGGTTGGGGTTAGTAAAGTGCAAAGATTAGATTCACTGCAGGTGAATAAACATTTCTGCTTTCTGCTTCAGTTACAACCTGAGGCTGAAGTAGTTTGTTTCCTAAGATCAGTTTTTTTCACTACAATAAGTAATAAAAATATTGCTGTAATTTTTATTGCATTAACTACTGAGGTTTAAGTAGGAGTGATAATGTTTTCTCAGGAGGGTCTGGGTCCCTCCTTACCTTTAGGAATGTGTAGGCCGTATTAGGGATGGGAATCGAGAACCGGCAGTTGCACTTGGCAAAACAATGACGTCAAACTTCTGCGTCTACGCTGCTGAACACTTGCAAGAAGAAAGAGTCCAAAACGTGTTCAGACTGGTGTTAATAAAATCTTATTAAAGAAAAAATTGTACACTTGTATGTTACTTACTTGTATGAGCTGTTAGTGTGGAAAGTTGGACTTGGAGATATAAAGTGGAAGTGAAGCCTTCTAGCAGATAATGTCTGTGTGCAACAGCCGGATGTTTCCATTCACTGTAAACTGTAAGGTTAGGACTTCTTTGGACACTGTTTGTTCGTTTGGACACATCATGAATGGAAACATGGATAGAGTCAACTCTTACTTGAAACTGTGGGATAATAAAAAAGCACACAGTTACCTTCAGGCTTGGCTTTCTGAGTGTGTCAGTCCAGATTGAACTTAAAGGTCTATGGATTTTATGACCACGGTCCCGTGCTCCTTAAGATCCAGTCTGCAGCTCAAAAAGTGGAGGCTGACCTAAAGGAGGGGGATGAGTGGGGAGAAGGATTACAGAAGCACATGAGACTCACCACACTTTAAATGTTTGACTTTATCGAAGGACAAAAACAACCAGAAAGAGTTTAAACAAACACCTGAATGCACAGACACACAGAAACCACATAGAAACACGCGTGTAGAACTATATATGGACTCCTATGGCGGGTCATGGGATGAGTTTTAATCTGTAGTGTATGACTGGTCTGTGAACCAGGATACCTTATGACCTCTGAGCTGTTAAATGAACATGGCACGTCTGAGCCATTCTTTCCCGCTCTCTGTGGAGACAGACCGCTTGTATAGTTAGTAGTATATAGTATAAAGTCAAGGTGTAATGAGTCAGTTTAATGTTTCCTTTGCCATATGTAAAACTTACACAACAGCACTCCAGTATTTAGTAAATGTGGATGTCAGAGTGGTATAAAACTCTCATCATTTTATGTTTATTAATCAATTAGTCAACTGACAGAAAATTA